TACTCCCCACGCGGTGCGTTTCCTTTTGCTCAGCTTCGGAGCAAGGTCGTTCATCATGTTGAATTCCCGACCTACAGTAGCGCTCAAAAGTCTTCGGTGAGATGCTTCTTAACTCATACTTTTCAGTCGTAACTCCTTTCCTACTGGATCCAATCACGTGAAATTTCGTATGTATAGCACGAGCGTATTGTGAGTATTTACCGTTATTAACTTGCAATCTGATCATGTTCCAGTTATCCCGAAGAGCTTGGACTCAAAATCAACTAGAAATACGAATGCTCTTTCTTCTGGAAGTTCTTTCCTTTTCGTCATGTCTAAAAAGTACGAGCGCCTGCTGCCGCATAAACAACTTAACCTATTTACGTGGATATTGCTGCTTTACAGTCAAATAATATTGTGTAGTGTGAAATATGCCTTAGTTAGACATGTCAAAATTTCGCGCGATTTGCTCCACCAAGAAAAAAGTTATGAACGAAAAGCGTGAAAGCGTTTGACCGAACACTTTTGAGTGCTACTGTAGATACACGCCGATAGGACATTCAGAAGTATTCGTTTCCACAGCGTAAAGGGAGCATAAGATACAAGACTGTTTCTCGGTACATCGTATTCGTTGAGTTCAGTTTCAAGCCGATCTTTCCACAAGCCCTGTCCAATCCCGCCAGCATCCCGAAAGCCGTCTGCCAGAGTTACCGTGATTTCGAAGTTTTTTGCATATATGTTTCCACCACTTCGCTGAGCGCTTTTGAGGGTGACGTTCATCCCATTCTGGAATGCGGAACTACTATTTTAGCCCCATAAGAAGAAAGGTTGTTATATTTGGAAGGAGCACACAACAGTTTCAATAGTAAGCAAGGATTCCAACATTTTACTGAGGGCGTTTAAGGTTTACGATCTTCCCATTTTTGAATGCTGAATAGCTGTTTTCACCCCCTACAAGAAGAAAGATATACCTTAAAGGAGTACGGAACAGTTTCACTATTGGACTGTGATTCGGAGCACTGTTTAAATTTAATTGCATTACCTCGTGGAACTAAGCGCAATAAGTTACTTGGTCTAGAGTTTTACGGAATGGGGAAGAAGGGAATCTGATCTTCCGGTAGCGTACAGATTTGATCGGCATACCATGGACGTTTCATTTTGCACTTTCAATTATACATTCTGCAGCTCGAGGTCCCCCACCTAAGATTCCAAACACGACAGCTCGATCCCAAATCAGGCCGCTGTATATAGCAGTAGACTTCGATCGAGCTTTAATTGACTTTTACGTCGTAATTTCATCCCCGAGTTGATGTACTCTTGGGAATTATATAGACAAGTTGATTTGACCTGTTTATGTTTATTTAGAGGATGTTGTTAATTGCACTTATCCTTTCCTTCTTCAATGGTCAGGCTATTTTCCTCCTCTATTTCACATGTTTGCAGCATGTCCTTAATAAACAAATAAATAAATGAGGAATCTACGAAATTGGTGTCGATATACACGAAATAGAATGGGAGAGACACGGAAGAGGTTGCAATGTGTACGAAGTTTACTGCAATATTCACGAACTGGGGCAAAAGCACGGTGAAAATGTAGTTGGCTAGTACAGCCCACCGCTTATCCAACAGTGGGCGCTAGAGCGCTAAAAAGAAGGGGTTGCCAACCTTATTTGTGCTAAGAGGCTGATCTTAGCCGAAGGAATATATGTAGCTTTACCTGGCAAGAGGAGGAGAGGAGCGTCGGGGTGGGTGATATGACTGGATCGTGCAGAAATCTGGGGTGGGGTGAGAATTTACCATTTAAGTGATTTACCTACTCCGATGCTCCTTCCCGTTCAGGTGAGCTATATTTTTTCGGCTGAGAATCGATTCTAACCACCATTATGGATTCGCGAAACCGGCTCCCCTCTTCCTCTGCACTCTAGCGCTCAGTGATGGGGAGAAGCGGTGCCCCCCCTCCACCTAGCCCACCCCGGAGAACGTCTGGTGCGCGCGTCCGCCGAAACGAGGTCACTCTGTCCATTCCGCGCGCGGCGCAGCCCACTGGCTGCTTCCATAGCCCACGATTTGGCCCGTGAGCGTTCCGACCGACCAACCGACCGACCAACGGACCGATCGAGCGAGCGAGCGAGTAACCGAGGGACTACTCGTCCTGCGGTATCGACCAAGATTCAGTTGTGAACAAGGAGCAAGCGCCGCCCCCGGTCACTCGCTCGCTCGATCGGTTGGTTGACTGGTTGGTTGACTGGTCGTGGTAGGTTGACTGGTTGTGGTTGGTTGACTGGTTGTGGTTGGTTGACTGGTTGGTTGACTGGTTGGCTGACTGGTTGGTTGACTGGTTGGTTGACTGGTTGGTTGACTGGTTGGTTGACTGGTTGTGGTTGGTT